TACAGCATGTTCGGGGTCTCACTACTAGATTGGACTCATAGTGATCCGCCTGTTTACAGCCTCCCAAGAGCTGGGATTACAGGCACATGCCACCACGTCCAGTCTCAATTGTTGTCTCAGTGTGCCCCAGGGGTGGGCCAGCATGGCAGGCCCAGAGATCAAATCCCTGGCCCCTGCACCTGCTTGCAGGCACTTTAACCTGCTGAGCTATTTGGCCAGCCCTCTAGTTTTTATTATAGGAATGTTTGGTTTCTTTCTTTTTTTTTTTTTTTCAAATTCATTACCAAGAACTCTGTGTGTGTGTGTGTGTGTGTGTGTGTGTGTGTGTGTGTGTGTGTTTCATTATTAAGAATGGGTTTAAAAATACATTTTGGAACTGGTCCTTGCAACATATAAGACCATAGCTGATTTTTTGTGTATGCATTTTTTGTTATTGCTATATCACACATCTTGTTTATTTTTTCTAATAATTTTTAACTGATTCTTTGAAGGCTTTTTCTCTCTCTGAAGTCATGCCATCTGAAAATAGTTTTAGTGCTTTTCTAATCTGTATGTCATATATGTATGAATGCATTATTCATGTTTAAATGTCCTGGTTCGAACCTCCAGTATTATGTTAATCACAGGTGGTAGAATCGTGTCTTCATCTTGCTCCTGATCTTAGAGGAAGAACACTCTATCTTTCTTCATGAAGCACAATAGTAGATGTAGGTCTTCTGTAACTACTGTTTAGAAAGTATCCTTTTACTCCAACTTGCAAAAGATTCTTTAATAAAAGTGTGACAGATTCTGTCATTTTTCTGAACTTGAGTTGTTCATGTGAGGTTTTAAAAAGTTATTTGTTCAGTTATTATGGTGGGTTATTACATCGGTTGTCCTTTAGATGCCAAGCCAACCTTGCATTCCTGGACTGAATTCCTCTTGATCATTGCATATAATCCTCTGCATGTGGCCTGTGTCTAGTTTCTTTCACATCTCCACATCACTTCTTACTGATTTCTGGCTTCTATTCTTGTCCTCTTAGTCTTTTTTTTATCATCAACAGTTTCATAGTCAGAGAATTCTTTATATATGTTAGAATATTTCTCACAATTGTATAGTAAATCCTTCACTTGGCATGAAGAAAAGTGTGACAAAGCTTACAAGGTTCTGCTTGAATGACCCCTGTGACTCTCCATCTGAGGTTCTACTTTTGTGCTTGTCCTCTCACCTTCATGGCATGGGCATCCCTGTTCAAATTGGTATTCTTTGGCTAGGTCAGGCCAACTGTCAATGTACAGTGTCTGTAATGAAAGTCTTCTTAGCTCAGCATGTACTTCTTCCTGATGCCCACATTGTCCTTCCCTCATCTTCTGCACATTTTTTCTTAGATATTGTTTTCTCAGTGCATCATTCTCTAACTAACCTTTAAGAACTTGCACACTTTCTCCACACAGCTCATCTCCTTAGCTCATTATTTTCTTTTTGTCATAACATTTACCACAGTTCAAAATACTAATCTATAGTGTATTGCTTAAAAAGTACTATTGTCCATTAAGTATTTTATTCACCCCCAATTTCCCAAATAATTATCTCTTTGAATGTAAGAATATTTGGTCATCAGATTGCCTTAGCAGGTAGTCAATGCTTAATATTTAGCTAATTAACGAATCATATATGTACACTTATTAGACAATACCCCAAGTTTTGGAAAAGGTTCAGCAAATATTTGAGGGTGACCTGTGCTCAGATATCAATTAGTGGTGGGAACCAAATAGTGCAAAAAATGTGTTTCTTGTTTTTCTAGAACTTTCATATTATAGAAAGAGACAGATATTCACACACAGACTGAGTGAATAATTATGAACTGTATTGTGCAAAGAGGAAAAGAGAAAACTAAAAGGAGACATATAACTGACAGAGGATTAGGGGACAAGGAAGTCTTTCCTGAAGAAACAACACCTATGTTAAGATGGAAAGGCTGGGGTATGAGGTAAACAAGGAAGGGTTCCCAGAGCACTTGAAGCTGCTACATTAGTAAGGACTAAGGATAAATGAAGGGAACATGTTCCAGGGCTTGGCAGAAGATAGAGGGGCAGAAGGTCAGGGAGTAAAAGAGAGCAGTTTGAAGTGAGGCTAGAAAGGGGAACAGCTGACAGAATTGAAATGATCTATATGGGTCTGTGCTTCAGATTTGGATTTTTATCCAAGAGTAAGAATGGCTGTGGGGGTAGAAATGCAAAGCTATGTTCATCTGGTGTTCTTCCTAGATCATCATCCCAGTTGCAGCCTGAGTACAGTTTAAAAGGGACCTTGAATTGCTAAGGATGGATTTGTTATGTGGCTAGGGGTGCAGTTAGGTGAGAGATATTTGGGTGTCTTCCATTTCTTTTTACTTTGCTGTAATTTTTAAATACCTGAAATGATTTTGTAGTTAATATATATGTCTTGGGACCATGGAGATAGCTCAGTAGAATAAGAGCTTGCCTGGCAAGCATAAGGGCCTGATTTCAATCCCTGGTTCTGCCAAGAAAAAAAAATGTATTTCTTATACAAGAAATTAAATGTGCATTTATACAAAGGACTAGTAACTCTAGAAATCACATTTTTAAAAAATGAAGTAATGCTTAGGTGATGATAACAGTGATCACAGGAAATAGGGACCTTAAGAACGGCCTGGGGCCTGCGAGATAGCTCAGAGGTCTAAGTGCCTGCGTAGGCAAGTGCAGGGACTAGGTTCCATCCCAAGCACCAAATAATATGCTGGCCCTGCCCGGAGGTACCCTGAGCTGCCCACCAACACTGAATGTAGTGGTGTGTGCCTGTAATCCCAGCACTGGGGAGGCTGAAAACAGGAGGATCATTACAAGTCTGAGCTGCATAGTGAGACCCAGTACCAAATACATGAAAAACAAAAACAAACAAACAAACAAACAAACAAAATGCTCTGAAGTTAAAAAGAGAGTGTTTGTGTGGAAGGTGATATCAAGGTAGTAGGGTAAGTAAGGTGGAAGATCCATACTCTGGAAAAGTGGTAGCTCCATTCTCTGGGAAGGATCGCTAGTTTATTTATTTATTTATTTTTTTTTTCAGGAGAAGGTCAGAATTCTGCAGTGGATAACTAATACTGGTGACCATTGGTATATCTAGGACAACTGGGCCATAAAACACTTGTATTTTTTTTATATGTATTTGGTACAGGGTCTCACTGCGCAGCTCGGACACATAGTAATCATCCTGTTTTCAGCCTCCCCTGTGCTGGGATTACAGGTGTGTGCCACTACGCCTGCCTGGACCTTGTGTATAGCTCAGCTCACCCTGAGGGTGGGGCTGGCACAGCAGATGGTGCTGGGGATCAAACTGGGGTCCCTGCGCTTGCCTAAGCTTGCCTAAGCAGGCACTTTAGCCCACTGAGCTATCTTGTTGGCCTCAAAATATTGAAGTCTTGTGAGCTAGCGCAGTCATTTTGTTTTACCAGTGTACCTAGGGATAGGAACCCAGTTTTCCCTAGGGACTTCTACAGAAAGGTAAATGATAGCCCTGTAGATTTTCACTTACAAGGAAACCAACAGAAATGAGTGTGCTCCCTCCCTTAGTCCCTGTTATGTCCTTTGTGATGCCACTAGTGCTTTGTTTCAGGGAATGGGGTAGGTTTTTAATTTCATTTTGCTTTATCTCACTCTCCCCACAATCTGTTGGTGGGATCTTATATGGACTTTCTAGAGAAAGAAATAACGAGATTCAGAGAGACCAAGTAAGTGTGAACCGAAGACCACAAAAGAGGATGCTCCAAGTTTCCAACCTAAGCCTTCTTCTTCCTAACTTGGTAGCTCTAACTTGACTTTCATAGACCTCTGTGACTTGTTGCTAATACAGCTCTCTGTTAATGTCCCTAGCTGCCTCCCTTGTAGGTCTATGTCATTTATTATGGATTGGTTAGTGAACTGGTATCTCATCTGCCAGTTCCCTAATTTATGGAGGTAGGAACTCCTACAAATTGGAAATGCTAGGTCACTAACCATTTCAGACCTGACCTATGATCCAAGACTAGGGTAGGGAGGTGCCTTGCTTGGAGAACCTTCATTCTTCTCTGCTTTCATAGTTATTCTCTGTCTACCCTTTGTGGTGAAATTAACTTGACTGTTCTATTTTTTCCCAAAACACTGATTTTCTTTATATTTCCACTCCAAGATATTGCATAGCAAGACAGTAAGAGTGCTATCCACTAATGCCATCAGGGTGCCTCCTTCATTACCTCATCCAATCTGAATCACCTCAGAAAGACCCAACCTCTTCACATGATTAACTTATGAATTTCAGAATGCAGTTTCAAACACATGGACTTTCATGAGACACCTTCAAGTCATAGCAGTAGGTTTTTGTGTGTCGTTCCCATGTTTAGGAAGCAAAGGATCATTTGGAGGTGGGTCAGAAGATATTTTCCTTCTCACTTTCCTGTTTTTGCTACAAATTATGAAATTCCTTCCTGGGGAAAAAGAATGCCTTTGGAAGAAAATCTCCTATATAACCACTGTCAGGAAATAGTCTCTCTCTTCTGTGTTGCATGTTTTCCAGAGTGTTCCAGGGGAATGCATGTTGCAAGAGCTTGCATTGCTCTGCTGCATTCTCTGAACTTCTAAGCCCCACTGCCTCTGAACACACCCTCCAGAGTCCTCCCCTAGGTACGAATCAAGAAACTGACAAGAGCTCTTTCTGGCAAATATGAGCAATATACAAACAAATCCCAATGTGGTGGAAGGGGGGAGGCAAAAAGGGAGGTGCAAAGATTTCCATCAGCAGAGTGGGCCTTTGAGGCCCATTTGCAGGATGGACACATCACTCTCTGCAGTGTCTGCATATCTGCCTCTTAAATGGCCAGGGTTGGGATCAATAGAACGCCTGCTACCTGGTTAATAATGAGCCTGTTAGGTGCCACAGATGAGCACCCTGGCTGCAGGATCCATGGGCTGCCAAGAAAAGACCACTGAACATTGACTTTTTACTTTTCTCTCTTTCCCCAGGGCAGCCACTGAAGTTTTGGCAGTATTGCTGAAATCCAGTAAGCATCTCTTTTGAAGAGTGGTATTCCTTTCCCCTGTGATCTTAGTGAAAAATACTCTGTTGTCTTCATGACTTGTTTCTTTCCTGGAACTGTGGGATGAGATGGAGAATATTATGGTTGTGTCACATACATGACTGCAAGGAGGGTGAATACCTCTGTGTGCGGACACCTCCATGCACAAAGGCAGCAAAACAATGGACTGTAAAGGGAGAAAGTTGTCTTCTGTGAGATTAGGAACACTCCAGCTCCTGCTAATTAGGCAGCAGACCTTAAAAAATTGTTAGAATAGACTCCAGGAAAAGAAAAGGTTATGGCTGGGTAAGTAGCAGATTTTTGCATTTGATTCCCAACTCAGCTCATATATTTTTGGGCTGGTGGAGAGCTGGGAATTGCTAGGACAATGTAGATGTCGATAGCAAATTTGTATCAAAAAGTTGGCTTTTTCCTCATTACTAGAGTGACTGCAAAAGAATAGCTTTGGGGGTCAGAGCAATTGTGAAGATTTGTTGGATAGACCTGCCCTAATTACGGTGGGGATCAATTTCACCTATACAGTACAAAAAAAAAAAGGCATGATGCATTTGGGAGTGAAAATGTGTTATCTTTTCCTTATTTTACACTGGTAGCCCTGCCTGGCTGAGTTCCAACAACAAAGAAAGCCAGGCCCTGCCCTCTGGTGGGCTGGGACTTTTTGGGGATTTTATAGGCAGGAAATACAGAATTGGAACTGTAGGTTTTTAATAGGGCAGGACTGGTCACATGACTTTGGGGAACAGATGGATCCAATGGGAAACAGGAATGTTGAGTCTAAGATGTCCTGTAGGTGAAGCCCCAGGAAGTTAATTGTAGGCATCCATGAACAAGTGAGGAGGTTATATGGGACAGGTTGAAAACATAAAAGTAAAATAAAAGGGGATTTTTCTGATTTATTTCCCTGTTATTTGCATCTAGAAGAAATCTTTGTCTACACTATGTTTGCTTAAATCGTGTTTTTTTGTTTAAGGTTGAATAGAGAACTAGGGTTGTCTGGGACCCCTGGGTCACTTAGGAACCCTGGGTAAGGACCATCTGTAGTTTGATAGAATGTAGGTGCTGGGATACAAGCCATGTTAAGCAGCTAAGGATATAAGGGCCTCTTAGTAAAATGAAAAAATGGACAGTGGGCCAGGGAGGGGGTTTCAACCATGGTCTCCATGGCTAAGGAGTTTTTGTTTTTTAATTTAAAGAATGTGTTTTTAGTGAATGTGTTTTGGCCATAATTGTCTTTTGTGTTGAAAGCCCACCCTTGTCTAATTACCTGTAATATTTGCAACTAAGAGCTGCTTGCATTTTTGAAGACCTATCTCTAACTGTGCTTAGGGGCCACTGGACATAGTTTTCATCTCAATTGATTCAAGATGAGAAGGGTCCATGAGAGAGGACACTACAGTCATGGACCATCCTAAGAAGGCAGTCTAATAGGTTTCAGGTAGATGCTTTGTTGTTTACCAGCTATGAGTTCTTTTTCAAGGTTGATCCAGTGGACCCCAGTAGAAAGAATTTAGTGTATTTATCATTGGTTTTCTATGCATGGTTACTTGGAGTTTGACAGCCTCTGGGCAAGAATAAATAAATTTTGAGAAATTAGAACATGTGTAATCAAAGCATGAACCCTAGAATGGAAGAACAGGCTTGAGAAATAGTCAAGTCCAGAGATTCTTATGGGGGTTGACTAGTGATTGCAACCCACTTTTTTTTTTTTTTTTGGTTGTTGTTCTATCTAGTTTATTAATATGATCTTGTTTTAGACATCTTTTGATTATACTTTTCTGCTTGATGTTCAAATTCAAGTTAAATTGAGACCTATATTAATAAGTATTAACCTTGACTGTTATCTATCAGTCAAGGTCAGTTAAATCTCCTTGGGATTTATGTTGGGACCAGGCATAGTGCCCCTTTGGTCTCCTGTCAGTGTCAGCCATCTGGATGAGTCATGGCCATTGCTTAGCCAAGTTGCTTTCTGTGAACACTTGGGAGACTTTTTTCCAGGTAACTCTCCTTATGCACACTATAAATTGTTGATCTCTTTTTTCCATGGCCCATAATCCCCTTAGGGGCTGTGTAACTTACCAGAGTTGTGGGATGTTGCTGAAAAGGCTCTCTCAGGTCCTGGGTCCCATTGACCTTGGAGAGCTGGGCCCAAAATACTGGGTGTCCTCTTCCCATATCTGTCTCTTTAGTTTTGGCCTCTATACTTTAGTAGTTGAACATCTAAAACAGAAGGTTAATAGCATTACATTGTAATGGGAGCAATGAGCTTAATTATTAAAAGTTTTATCTGAATGTCAAGCACCTTGAAATATAAAGTATAGGCAGAGAACTATTATTTTTTTATCAACCACAGATATTCTAGTAGTTAAATCTCCATAGAATGTTAAGAGACAACAGTTATATAGTTTTAGAGATTAAAAGTCATATATAATATTTTGGCATGACATTCATGATGCCATTTTTATAACATACTTAAATTTCTATTTTGACACAGACTAGCCCTTTTAGTCAATCATCGCTATTTAGTAAATAAGAATTTCTTACCTAATTTGTTGTCCTTTAATGGGATGTCATTGAAGTATGTGACCTTGTCTAGACTGTTTAATGTCTAGGCTTCCCTAAGTATAGTGACACATATATAGCATACATATATAATTTTTTTTGGCAAAAATATTGTTGGCTGGTGACTTTATGTTGGCTTAGCATGAACCTCTCATCACAAGTAGCTGGAGGATGAGAAAGGAAGATGTCTAAATCCGGAAGAAAATGTTTATCATCCTAAACAATGTCAGTTTTACGTTTTAGAAGACTTAGACATCTGAAGGCATGAGTACATTTAATACACCATAAGAACAGCATTGTCACAGACATGAAAACCTTTATCAGACTGGTGAGATAGCTCAGTGGACTAAGCTCCTGCTTAGGCAAGTGCAGGGACCGGGGTTTGATCCCTGGCACCACATGCAGTGCTGGCGTGGTGGTTCACGCCTGTAATCTCAGTGCCAGGAGGCTGAAAACAAGAGGATCACTGCAAGTCTGAATTGCAGAGGCCCTGTACCAAATACATAAAACAAAACAAAACCTTTATTGATTGGAGTCCCGTTTAAGATTTTTCCCACCCTAAGGGATTTTTTGTTTAATTATCTTAACAATTTTTGGTGATTTATGATACTAGATTGTAACGACACAATATTTTTGAACAATGAAAGACTCTCAAGTCATAATATATAAACAGCAATATGTATTACATTTATAAAACCAATTTTAACGTCATTTTTGCCAGCTGGTAACTTAGGTGGAAGCATATCTTTAATTTTGATGACATTTAACCGTAGGCTAAGTAAAATTATAGATGAGTGCTTCAGAAATCCAAAAATGCAAAAAAAAAATAATTGAGTTGAGTTCAAATAAAACAGCTGTTTATAGACTGGCTACACAAACAAATGAACAAACATATATAAGACAAATCAATTCATGAAATTAGAGTACACTCAGATATATTTTTGGCCAATTTGAATACAGTAATTCTTTTTACAATTTTAGAAGTTTGAAATTATAAAGAGACTACTCAGAATTGTTTGCAGGTCAGTTAGTAGAGATCTCCTACAAGAAGAATTTGGGGGGGGCTGGAGAGATGACTCAGTAGAATAAGTCCTTCCCCGGCAAGTGCAAGGGCCTGAGTTCAATCCCTGGTTCTGAAAAAAAAAAAAAAAGAATTTGGAAGAAACACAAACGCTTACATTTGTGAAAGACAGTTTATCGGATTGAAATGTCTAAATTATTGTTTTAATAGGCATATGTAAAGTGGTGTCTTTTGCAATTGGACACACTGCTAAAGGTAATTTTAATTATCTAGGGGGGTTTCAGCAGGCCAGGCTTGGGCGTAGAAAGGGATTATCTCTGAGAATGGTGGCCATCCTGGAGAGAAGCCATCAAGAGGCTGTCCTCTGGTATTGGGACTGTGTGTGTGTGTGTGTGTGTGTGTGTGTGTGTGTGTTTTAATGTATTTGGTACAGGGAATGCAGGATCTATAGGGTCTTACTACATAGATCAGACTCATACTGATTGTCCTGTTTTCAGCCTCCCAAGCACTGGGATTACAGGCATGTGCTACCATGCCCATTCTCAGTTGCTGTCTCAGCGTGTCCCAGCCGCTATACTTCACTTAAGCAGGCGCTTTAATTGCTGAGCTATCTGGCCAGCCCTTCTTTTTTAAAAAATATCTGTTTTACTTTAAAACTCTTATTAAATTTATAAGATTTTAGAAATGATTTTTGACGATGAACTTATATGTGTCATAAAAAAATCAATCCGTTTGTCCTGTGTTATGAAAAACCAGCCAGCATGCTTTTAAGGGGAGAGGTGAGTTAATATTTAGTTTTGCCTAAGGACTAAAAAGCAGATACACTTAGACTAAAACTTGCATATTTATTTTTTAGAGCCACATGATTAAATCTCGACCAGCTTTTGAATCTAACACAGAGATCAGTGAAGATCAGCTTTATTTTGAAAGGGTCCCGGGGAATGGAAACTTACCATTCTGGAAACTTGGTCCTGAAATTCAGTGACCATGAAGAAGGGGATGCATAAGACCAACCACTGTTGCAAACTATTATTTTTCAGGAGCAGATCAGTGGAGAAGGGACAGAAGAATGACTTCAAATATGGCACACAGGAACTAAATATTAACTATCTCAGGTGAAAAAAGATAATTAAGATCCAAGACCTTTTTTGAGGTGGATCTCTAATCTTTAGCAAAATATGTAACCAGAGACAAACATTACGTTTGACTCCAGCTGTACTACCAAACAAAAAAATGAAGCCAATAACCAAAATATCAGGATGGCTTTTTTTAACCTTTTGGAAGAAAGTGAGAGAAAATGAAAGTGTTTTAGTTATGTTAATATTTAAGCACTAGATGGGCTTTCCCAATTAATAATCTTTTTTTTTTCTCTGTATTTAGGACA